AATTAATGATTCTTTGTTCACTACAATTTCTGACAATCAAACTGAATTCTCTTTCTGTACTGACATATATTACAAATAAACATTTGATCAATAACATTGTGAAATTATAATGACATGAACAGTAATTAATAATACTACAATTTGATTATATAGATTTTACATTTTAAGAAGTAACCAGATTTGGACAGTTTTGTAATTAATTAGCCTTAAAATTTTATGTTCATTCAAACAGTTAGTGAAATGTGAATACTTGCCTAATCATTTTGTACCACTTGTTAATTTCAGTGTGAAAATGTTTTTTACATATTGTGTTATGAACTATTTTGCAATATAAAATGCTATGTTTCTATTGCAATGCTTCACTATTTTATCTCTATTTACTTGTTATTAGCTGGCAATAATTATCTTTTAAATCTCAACAGAAGCCTCTTGCATGAACTTTAAATGATTTAAGAGCAGAGCGAAAGAAACTTATGAATTGTCAAACCTATTCATGGAATAACTAGAAAAAAAGGTTCTTGGACTCTAAAACAACATCAATTTGGACATTAAGACTAATACATTATCTCAGTAGTATAATATATTAATTTTTTATCTAGTTGTAAATCATATTCTAAATACATATCGACTCCATCTTTTCTCTCTCTCTCCCAAGTTTACCCTCTTAGTTTCATCTTGGTTTTGTTAACTTTATATTTTGTTTCATTAATCAATTAAGTTGTGAATAAAATATATGATGGAGTGAGTATTTAGTTAAGTTCCGTTAACTGGTCAATGAAAATCAATCCGAATTAACGATTTCTACATAGCGTTTCTTTATAAATGACTAATAATGAAGCATTAAAAGGAAAATAATAACAATGACTGACAAATATAACCAACTAATTATATACTCAAATACAATGTATAAAAACCACATTCTATAAGAAATAGACTTGATATCACTGTTGTTTAAATATATATATCAACATTTGTTCAATTCTTTCGAGTTTGAATTGATATTATGAAAAGACTATGAATTAAAAGCTGTAAAATTATTACGGAAATGAATGTTTATTTGTACATTTATGTCAGAAATAACTTAGAAAGTATATTAATAACAACCGGTAACACTTCATGTAGTCTTTGTTTCTACTTTCTTTCACTATATAAATAAAAAAGGACATTATCTTTTTCGATATTGTAAATAAAACCCAAAAATTGGCGGCAATTTCAAAAAAATATAACAACATTTCTTAATAAGTAGGTGAAAGAAGACAATGGTAACACAGCAGTAAGTTAAATAAATTTAAATTTATCGTTTGGTAACTTATTCTAAAAACAGACTGTAATATATATATATATATATATATATATATATATATATATATATATATATATATATATATGTGAATGGGTTAACAATACAATGCTTACTTTTAATCCTAGTTATAAGTATTATCAGCATCAGTGTGTATGTGTGATTGCATACGTTCCATTTGCATTATTATTTTACAACTTTCAATATCTTATCATTAGTTGGTTTTTCACTATTTTCAAAGAAATGTATATATTAATCTTATTTAAACAGAAGCCACTTTTCGCTACGAGCTTACTGTAAATAAAAACAACGAAGCTGAATATGAAAATTCTCACTACTCTAAGATGTGAACCAAAAAATATTGATCAGTAAAAATGAAACCAACATGATTCAGGAATAAAAAATAAAAACATATTTTATACTACTGAAGAAGAACAGATTGTAGTGTAGCATTAATTATAAATAGTCTAAGTGAACTTTTTACAACCAGATAAACTTATAGTATGAAAGTCATAATCTAAAAGTATTGCAAAGAGATACTGTAGAAAAGAGCAATATCAGTCAAATTAATCATAAAATACGTGAGATTAAATTAGTTCGGAGTCCTAAATAGTATATTTAGACCACTCAAAGATACCTTTTGTAATTATGGACTGTTATAACTACCCGAGAATTGTTCGGAAAAACCTTCAAAAGCCAGGAGGAACGGAGAAAATACGTCTTTTGAAACCACCAAGAAAATCTAGAAACTGGTTAATCGTGTTTTATTTATCCTGATTGGCCAGTTGCTGGAGTTGTTGGCAGTTAATGGGTTCCAGAATCTTATAAAATCCCTAGACTACGTAATCCTATAAACTTCCTCTAAACTTATCACGGTTTTCTGTTCACGATTAAAGTACTTCTGGAGACTAGGAAGTGGTTAGGAATTCGGTGTCTAAGCGTACAAAGAACAAGATGTATCAGGACAAAACACAGACAAATATTCCTTAATGTAGTCTTGTGGAGAGATTCATTAGTGGTTAAAGTACCTGTCTTCCAACTTTTAAGACACAATTTCGAACCCCACCCCGTTGACTTCAGTTTGTGAAGACGAACAGTATTAATGGACAAACTACGAGTGTACTTCAATCCCTACTTGATTAATAAAATATTATATATTAGTTTATATATTTCATGAAGTAGTTGATAATATATGCTAAGTTCAACGTCGTGTGTTGATTTGAATGTTGATCAGTGACAAGTCTATTATACTTACTTAAGCCTGTTACCCCTCATGGAGGAGCATAGACTACCCACCAGTATGCTCCAATGAACTCTGTCCTGTAGCTCTAACTCTACGTGCAGCTCATCTACGGCTACTGCTGGTCCCAAGCCCGGGTAAAGGAGGAGGGTTAGGCATGGGGTCAGCAACCCCATTCTGTAGTAAACAACCTTGCTAAAAGTCACCAACCAGAATGAACAAGTCTATTATGATGAACACTATTAAAACAAGACTTCTCAATGAGTGTTGTATACTACAACATGATTTTTATTGGCTACAAAAAATTGAAATTGTATCATTTCTACGTTGAACATGCATTATTAACACGACTTTTACTTTTTGTGAATAACGATGGTTAGTGTTTTCCGATATCCCAATACCAGATGGATTCATAATCTGTATAATTTACCCACAAAGATAATTATAAATCACCTATTAAAAACTAATGCCAAAGACACAATACATCTATTACGTTAACATGATTCATAAGGCGAAACCTTTATTTTGTAACTAGCAAAGGTTTGTCGTATTGGCTTATTATAAACAAAGGACATTTTCTCCATTTAAAGCTGCCATAAATTTTAAAATAATTAGTAACACTTGTGAACAGATTTAAAATCACTGAGCATATCCAACATAATTATATAAATTACTGAACACTATATATGCAGTTTAATAAGAGACTAAGCCTGCAGAATTAGTAAACTTCCTCCCGAAATATAGATATTAAAGACGGACTACATAAAGACCAATCACCTATGAGAAATATTAAAATGGACAGTGCTATTTGCAAATTTGCCAGTGAGCATAGTTAAATTTATATTAAAAAGCCATACCTATAGTGCAGAAAAGTCCAAAGGTACCAGTGAGAAATGTTGAGCTCATAATTGATGCTCATTAACTAGTATATGCAAAGCCACTAAGTCAACAGTGTCATATATACTCTTAGCAACAACTGTATGTATACTAGTACTTCTGTACTTAGCAAGTCCTCATAGGTATGCAGATGGAGTTTATAGGAGGGAAGAGAGAGTAGACTTTAAATTTATAACACTTTGTGGAGAAAAACGTTAAATTGTTAGAAAGAATGGATAAATTTTGGTACAAAATAAAGTAAGGTGTAAATTCATCTGGTATATATCGTCCAATATTTCTAACTGAATCTTTGATATCGTTAAACAGAAATAAATAATATTGTATACTCTAATCATAATACATAGTGTTTCATCTAAAGTAAATTAAAAACTTGACAGAACTATCACTTCCCATTTGGTATCAAGTTAAATATGATCGGAATCTATAATTAGTAAATTGGCTTCAGTAATATAATTACAAATAAAGTAACTATTATTAACGACATAAGCTACATGGCTCATTTTTAACTAACTGAAAGTCTTAACCTACCAGGACATCCGTGTTTCTCAGTAGAACACTAAACATAATAAATTCATATACTTTATCATTTCTAAAAATGAAAGATAATTTTTGTCTTGATTGTACCTTATTAGGTCTATTTATATAACGAATACCTCAAAGTTTTATGAGATGGTATTTTTTTCTTTTTAAACTATTGTTTCTATTATCAGCGCACTTTGTACACAATTCAAGATTTGTGAAATTTCAAGAGGCGAAGTATGTACAGAAGAAACCCTTTTTGGAATACACTCTTTTAGGTAAGATTTCGCGACATGTGACGAAAAACTTAAACGAGTTTTTTTAATTTTATACGTATTTTCCCACTTGCATAGGCCTTAAATCTGGTACACAATTATTAGCCTTGATCACATAATTATGAGAAATATCTCAATACGAACAATTTGCGTTTACATTTGTTAAACTATGAAGACAGAAATGTATTATTCTGAAGCCATTGTAATTTAATTCCTAAACGACTAATAAAAAATAAGAAAAACCCATTTATGTCTTAAGTTTTGATAATTGTTATTGCAGTTTAATAAAAAAAAATTATGCTCAGCAGTTCCCATTCCCTGATGATATTAGGTTAATTATTTTTTCAAGTTCTGGAAATTTGTGGAGTTTATTTTCCCTAGTAGATTAATTCAGATAGAAAATACCGAGTATTACTAGACTGGTGTTTAGTCACATTTCGAAACTTTCTAGTAATGTGCAATATCGAGCCGAATTATGACGAAATCTGTTAATCCTTCTCTAGTTGACGTTTTCAGTGATAATTAACTCCAAAATTTACTTTCTACGGAGTTAATTACGAATTCCCAATAAACTTCATGTCTTAGAGAACGATATATTTTATTTATTTCTTAGTACTAAATATTAATAGCATCAAAAGATTCCGTTGAATAATGATTTAAATTCGATCGATAATTTTTGCCATATCGGAAAAGTAAGCATTCATATGGACAAACAAATGAACACAACAAAAATAGTTTCATCAATCTAGAACACTAAAACTAAATCTACCTGTTCATCATTAGCTAATTGATCATGATAATAATTGTTTTGTCTCAAAGATCTTTTGGAAATACGATTATGCTTGAAATGATAAATTCCAGGTAAAATCTAAAATAAAAACATAGACAAAAAATAAATGACCACAACCAATAGTTGCTACATAAAATATAATGATAGATGTTGCTTTATAAGAATAAATTTAGAAGACGATTAAAAATTGAACCAAAGTATATGATAACATTTACAGCTTTCCAAATGATATGGCCAAATATCACTACATAGAATACAATTCATATTGCAAATATGTAAGTAAAATAGTAGGATTACCCTACCCAGAAATTAGGCTGATTGACTACAGCTTTGATTATATGTAATCAGAAAACTAATGATAAGTTTGTGCATTAAGCTTTGAAACACAGTTATCTACAAGACCTGGTTATGTTACTGAGATCCCGAAACCAATGTAAGTTGAGCACGGTGTGAACTCGGAATCTGGTGATTGAAAGATGACTGCTTTGATCACTAAGTCACAACATCACTAGACAAACATCTAATCAGACTAGACAACATGAGCCAAAGGAAAGAAAACTAATTTATGTAATACTACCGCTATTTGTCAGAACTATTAAGACTAGTTTTTGATTTCACTAGGATAATAAAAGACAACATTCAAGAGCTTAAAAGACTATAATAGGGAATAAAATGTTACTCATTTCACTTCTAAATGTTCAATTTTAGATTATATAAGACTAGCGAAACTAGATTTGATCATGAACAATTTACTAAAAGTGTATACGAAGTTTCACTGGCCTAATACTTTATTTTGTCCCTCTAATCTTTTCATTTTGACATTAACTTATTATATTACACCTGTTTTGGGTAAAGGAGCTTGAAATTAATAGCTGAACAATCTGATCAGATTGATTCCCTTAATGCCTAAAAATAAAAAAGGAATAAATATAACGGTGGGTATGTGTGTGCATGTCATATTATGTGAAGATCTGGAAATTATCGACCATTCTCGTGATCAGAACACGACAAGTCTGACACCTTAAATGATCATCTTAACTTTAGTCTTTAACACCGTCTCCACTTGGCAGTGACATGTTATAAAATAGTGAGAGATAACACAAGTCTTCAGTGTTCGAGTCAATAGGAGAGAATCTACCTAAGAGAACTGATAAACACTGATTAAAAACCAGTGATGCACATTAACTTCGGGACTTCGAAGAGGTAAGTGATTTATGTGTGACTTGGTCGCCTACTACCGTCAGAGTAAGTAATCTGAAGTTCTGTACGCGTTTATGCTGGGATCCTGGGACGCTAGTACCGAAACATAAAGCTGACAGTACTATCCTAAACCTATGAGTCAAACCTTCACTAGTCGATTTACACTAGGCACCATTTATTAGGTATTTGGAAAACCTCAATTACACTAGGACGTAACTAACTGAAGTAGCTATGTCTTTTCATAATCTTTACCTATGATTTAACATCATGCAGCAGGGACACAACGATGGGTGATATGCTCTGGACTGGGTGATTCGACGAGATACACTTAACAAACTTTTTGGGTTAGGAGATTTTCGAACAAACAAGCGTGAGTAATTGTTCATCATCACTGCAGCAGAATTACAGCAAACGAAAAGTTATGTTCAAACATATTTGCAACTATTAATTGACACATAAAACAATACTTGCTTCCTTAGACCTAAACTATTGATGAAATTCAACAAGAAATGAAGTCAAAGCAACATGATAATAAATTTTAAAGTTAAGAACGAGTACATTAAATAAAATGAAAAATGAAATTTTAATAATAAAATCCATGTTAATATGCTGTTGGATCATAGTACTAATAAAATAAGCGCCGACTATTGTAACCAAAATGCACTTACAAACAGCTGTTTGTAAGATTTCCCAAAACCCAAGGATTAATTTCGGAAAAAATTCCTCATGATTATAATGACGACGCCGTTTTCAGAAGATAACCACGTTTTGTGATATATATATATACTGACACAACTTGAATACATTAATTTTACAAAAAAAAGTAAATTAATAATAAAAATGTATACGATCTGCTAGACAACTAATGCTTGTCCCAAGGAGACGGAATGAAAAAAATCCTAGTTTACACCCGTCTGTGTAATCGCTTGTCATTCCCATTTTGACTGATAAGAGAAAAGCTACCGGAATTTATTGGGTATGTTGTTGGGGTTTCAATACGATTCAGTTCTTGGTTGACTAACATCTTCGCAACACCTCCTACTGTTTCTAAACCCAGTATAAGGAGTTTCATATTTTCTAAACTACGTCAAATAAAGAAGTCTTTACACAGAGCTTTATATGAAGGACTATGTTTTAAGACGATGTAGTGGATTCACGATTAAACTCTTATACATCAAACAAAACAGGCCCATTGATTATGATCTGAATGGGATAGGTAGTGAAAAATCCAACCTACAATTAAAAGCCGGTTTTCCCAGAAGAGATTATAATTTTTTTTAGTTGACTGAAGACTTTTTCGATGAACACATTACGAAGTCATTTCGTATTCATAAAAAAGCTTGGATGTATGGACAACCAAGATTCTGAGTAGAAATTTATCGAGCCCATGGACATTTCTTCACCTGTAATATAAATCTGCTCTTGTATATCGTACAAAAGCTACCGGATGTTAATCATATTCACATGAGAAAAATTTTTGCCTACAACTTAAAATAAATTGCACGATTTTTCTCGGTGTTGATAGCCCATAACGTGATTACCACTTACCTCTCCAAGATATAGAAATCCGTATTTTTCGGCTATAGCACGCGCAGCCTTTTCACCTCCTTTGATTTCTACAGCCCAATATGGAGTATATAGTGCTTTTCTTTTGTTATGAGATAAGTCAGATAGCTCAGGTGTGGTCGGAACATTTTGTTTTGGTATAGTTTGATTGTTTGTAGCGCAACAACAAAGCCTGACAGTGATGAAAATTATACAAACAAGTGAGCATATTTTATAAATTTGAAGAGAACGAGTAAGGTTCGGTGGGTAAGATAGGAATATATATTCCATTGTAAATTTCGTGAATCATAATATTAATCACAAGCATAGCTTTAGTTCATTTCTTCACTAATAGAATTTCTAGTATACTAGGAGCGAATAAAACAAGAGACGATGTGACCTTCTCATTGATTGGAGCTGAATCTACAGAACGTTAAACAATTGGTTGATTTGAACAACTTGAAATAAAAGTTGTCCTAACCAGTGATTACTTAATTTTAGATGATGAAGAGCTCAAAGGTTCACAGTGTTTATTATACATTTGGTGACACTTAAGATATTTCTCTTTCCGATACTATAGGTGGATGAAATTATACTTCAGTAGATCTTGTTTATTTGTCTTTGTGAAAAATGAACCATTTGGCAACACTAGCGGCTATTACTCCAAGGACTTGTGTGCAACAGTTACAAAAGATAATCTGGAAGAGGGACGGATGATGCTTTCAAAAATGATAGGGGTATTGTCCATGGATTTAGATTTCTAAAATATCCCGTGTTCTTAATTTCAATAACAATCAAAACTAGTTCATACCCTGGTCAGTCTATATCACCTCAATAGTTTGTGACATACACGTCAAAATTTTCCGTCTGAATTCCTCCAGGGGGCTTATAGAGAACTTTCTACGGACTCAAACCTATGATCAAGGCACGAATCCGTAAAGATGAAAGAGAGATCTTTCTTAACTCGTTAGCTGATTTTTTTAGCCATAAAAAGTTTGTTTCATTTTATCAAACGGAGCCAAACTCCTGTCTTACCTGCTTCCCTCCCTTTTCCTCTTCCTATTTCAATATCTGTTTAAGTAAACGAATGTCTGAATTAAATTCATCCTGCTAAATCCGTATTTCGCTTGATATCATTCGGTATTTCGAACAGGTTTAGTCATGGTGTAGTAAGTAGGAAATAAACGGAGGATATATTCATTCATTCATGTGAATCGGGGTCAGATCAACGGGCTACTGAATTAATGGGTCAACATAAAATGGTGGACTACTAAAGATGTCAAGTGTATTTGAAGTTAGACAACGTCTTAACCATGACCTCCGTTATGATCAAAGTATGCTAACCCAGTCAAGTCAGAAATGAAATAGTTTGCAGATATGTTTGGAGGGCTATCTGTATGTTTGGTCTGAGGTAGCTGGTAGTTGAAAGGAATGTGTAAAACGACGTATCCACTAGTGACTTGGTATGGATGCGTGATCAAGTGCCTTTATCTAAGTGAGTCCATTAAAAATAATACATACAGCATCAAATGTCGAAGACTTACATAGCTATTGACTTTGAGGATTTATTTACTGCTACACTACCATGTCCTTTTGACCCTCACTAAGCTTTCAAAGTTCATGCGAAAGTCGCTTTACATAAAACTCATATATTTGTTTGTTTGTTTTTCAGCCCGGCTAAATTGGATTGATGAAGAGAAAAAGTCTTGATTATGACCACTGTCTGAAGGTATTCAATCAAGCATCGGTACCATACAATATCCCAATCATACTCGAACCACCTGCCTATTCCAGACAGCCACCATTAATATTACATCTTTTTAACATCAAATATACATATTTTCACTCATCAATGCCTTCCTCCCTGTTTGTTTTCGGAATAAACTGTTTAAACATACTTGCGAGCCGTTATTGTCCGAATCCATTTCATGCAGTATGTCTTCAACCCTAAACATTTTAAATTCTGTTATCGAAATTGGTTCAGTCTGTGCAATTGATCCGTGCGGTATGGCTCGGCCATGGAGGCGTGGTCATTCTGTATAACCCATAATTTTCCATATTAAATATATTAATTTATCCCTTGCTGAAATGTGCTCATCATATTTGCTTAACATCACACTTCTGACTGTCGCGTAGGATGAGTCAGTATAGATACTGATTTGACTTTCACGCAAAATCCTCTAGGTGAGGTATTCACATCATCACAAATCAACGACTTTGAGATTGAATTTATCTTAATGGTGGCAGACATAAATGTACTGATAATGGAATTTTCTATAATTCTACAAGGTAATAATGTACATTCAAATTTATAACAAAATTAATAGTCATCATTTGCCCGAATACTTTGTTTTCGTTTCGATCGTGTGATGGAGCCTAAACAGTTATTCCTCACGCAAAACTGATTTAGCTTGAAGGTCATGGCGTTAAATTCACACACAGTACTTGTACAAAGCCAATGGCTTTCCGCTAACCAATGGCATAGTAGTCTTTATTTGACTAATAACTTTTTGAAAATGGGATAACTACAGGGATTAGTAAGTCCCTTTTGCTATTTATCTAAACTCGTGCTGTCACTCGCCAGAAAGCCATGATTAAACAAAGGCATAATAATGAGATAAACTTCTGCCGTTCTGTTCAGTCCATGATAAGAAATTCGTGTGATAACAAAAACTAATTACCTGACATCACAGGCAGCACAAATGGTGGATATAACAGGCATATAACTACACCATAAGTATTGGAAGACTGAACACAAAATTAGTCGTAACGCAAGGACAGTTATACTGGTAACTTTATAGACATCCGACAAAAGTTTACAAGAAAACATATATACACAGTGATCCAAGTGTCTAGCACTTAGGCAATGAAATATAGACAAACAATTCTTCTAATGTCTTTTAAAAGCTCGTAACATTCGCTCCTTCATAGCATACTTGTACCTTTTTCTTGACGTACGTAGGGTTGGAGCACAAGTATATTGGGGTATTGATTTCTCAACTTCCCTGCATCCTTCTCCAGTAACTTAATATTTTTCATACATTCCTTCTTTGTGAACCATGGAAGAGAGATTCATGGTTTCATCAATGTTGTCCAGTTTGGGTATATTTTGCTGATACTTAAATGCAGATTGCCAATAACTTTAAAAACACATTCTCACGGAAATATTTCTCTATTAACGATTCTGTATTTCTAAATTTTAGCACATTTACTTTTCAGAAGTTTGGACTGGCTAAACCTGACAAATTGTTTTTGGTAGTGATCCGTCATACAGTGGTACGATTCATCTATTCCAAGCTTCACCAATATAAAACCGAAAATTCTACACCACAGCCGCGAATTCTGGAGGACAATTGAAACACGTTGAATGCAGTTCGTACAATCTCACTAGAACAAAGTACACACTAAGCTGACTAACACTGCTGATAAAACGGGCAATAACAATGCCATGAAAATTCAAAAGCAAACTACTTGAATAAATAGTATAAACCTTGTATATGAGGGGATGAACAAAAGGTTTTTGTCATATTAAATATATTCAGAGGATTTTTATGAAAAGCACATTTACAAAGACAACCATTGACAAGCGAACGCCAAAAATCTCACCGAGTAACACAAAAGCTTCTCAAACACAATTGTAGTTCATCCTAGTGACAGCGTGTTCGGAAGGATTGGCAGGATCTACATCATCATGCTTACCCTCCCCTCTTACATTATGGTGCTATTCATCAGTTCTAGTCCTCAGTAGAACAGAGTGTACAGATATCTGTTTTAGTAACACCATCCTTTTTCAGTGTCGCTACTTCCGTAGTCCTATCACCATTAACGTTCTTATAAAGTTCGTCGGCTCCTATAGGCCATCAACCTCAGCACAATAGCCACCAAATCATCTTTCACAAAGCTGCGACGTTTCACCGAATGTTTTAACGGTTTTTCATGAGTGGTAAGTATCCTCTTACCCATCTTTTCCAAATTTTATCCGCGAAGTATTAATAACTTATCTGTAATGCCTGCATATTTATCGCTGCTACTGTTTTCTTTCGTAATTTCAGCACCTCTTGGTAATGACAAACTGTTCAGATAAAAGGCTAGCCAGTTATCAACATCCTATGTAGCGGGAGATATAAGGTATTTATCTAACCTGGTTTTCACTTCCTCTTGATAACTGAACAAAGTTTACCTATTTAAAATTTACTCGCTAGTCATCATCAGTAACATAGAGCATTCTTTCTTCTCATAAAAACTCATCTTTTATACAGCGCACTCATGCTAATTTTCAGGCATAACCACCAATGTACAACATTGATTGAAAAATTAGATGGTGACTTCGCAGTACTATTGAAAAGAACAAATCGGTAAGATTATAAAACAGAATTTTCACAGAGCGGTGAATCGGTTTGTGTGATAGAAGAATTTTATGGGTTTACAATTGTTTTACAGACTTCAAAGGGATTCTGATATAATCGCGACCATGATTTGAGCGTGTATTACGTATATTACATAAGTTTAGGTATAAGACCTGCAGCTGCCAGTTACAAACACGTTACTGGTAGAATAAAATGGAAAGGCTAGTAGCAATAAGACTAATGGCTAAAAATGGTCCATAAAACCCGATTCCTTGCAATGGAACAAACTGATGTACATTTAATTAATCAGCTTTCACTTAAAGAAAATAACATAAAAGAAGCCACATATATTGTGAAGAAAGAAAATAGGCAGGTCTATACTGACAGAAAATCATTTAAAGTGTATGGCGAGAAACGTATTTGCGATATCATAGACGTAGTGAGAAAACGTAAAGTGCTTGGATACCTGAACCACTCTACCATTATTATAAGCATTTATTTATCGCGTTTATTTTCTATTTTTATTAGGCGCAACCCTCTGAAGGCCAGTTCAGTGTTCTCAGTTGTCGTGACAAATCGGCGAAAGCCTGAAAATATAATTCTACAAGGTGGCAAGCGCAAGCGAAGCTATAAGTTCCATGCCTAGTTAGGAAGCATTTTTCTGCGAATTGCGTGTTACACGCATGTCGGACAGTTGAAACTTATCGAGTTTAGATTAAATGTGGCAACACTGGAATAGCACTGAACCCCAGCTGCATGTAGACTCAAGCTGAATACTCTATGACCCAAGAGATTCACTCCTGAGTATTGAGTGGTGGACCTATTAAATACGACGTCAGCGGTAGCTGAGCGGCGTAGTGCGCAATCTCAAATAAGTATCTGTCTGAAAACTACTGGATTAATAATAATAATGATAATTTATTCTCAAATAACAGTTTGTTACATGAGGCATGCCAGTTAACAGGCAAGATAAAATTGTTACGAATGATACAATTTTCACTGTAGCAAATTACTCAGCTGGGTTAATATTTTATAAGATATGGATTTAGATGGTTTAATTCAGTACCACAGTTAGTGCGCTTCG